GTAGCGCAGGCAATGTGCCCTAACAAAGCTGTACTGCCGTAGCTGGGCAATGCGAAGGACACATCCCTGTGGCTGCATCAACTGAAACTAAGTTCTCGGGCTTGCAGTAGTAATTGGCGTTGGGACTGAAATCCTACTTATGTTGTCTTGGTAACAGGAATATGAATCATTACATGGACACAGAGGCGTAGCTGTAAAAAAAACCAAAAAAACCCCACCAGCAACACTCTTCTATTTTGATGTAGCCCTCCAAAGTATTTCCATATTTCTCTATTACAGGGGTCTTCAAACTTGCCAACTTTAAGACTTGTGGACTGGCTGAACTGGCTAACCATGAGGTTACTAGAAGTTGAGGAATGGCTGGCTGAGGAATTCTGGGAGTTGAAGTTCACAAGTCTTAAAGTTGCCAGGTTTGAAGACCCCTGCTTTATTATATGCACTAAGAGAAACGAGTTTGATTACTTCCAGTCATTGCCTTCAGATCTCTGGTCAAAAGATCACTGTTAGATCTGTTACGTGTAGATGTCAGAGGCTGAAGCTGGATTAATCTCTGTATGATATCTATGCTGTACAACCATGTTACTCACTTAACAACTTCAACGATTCATTTAACGACTATGGCAGAAAAGTCATAAAATGTGGCAAAACTTACTTAACAACTGTCTCGCTTAACAACAGCTATTTTGGGCTCAATTGTGGTCGTAAGTTGAGGACTACCTGTAATATCTTGGTGGCAGTCCATCAAGAACTTTTTGAGATACAGACTGCATGCGAAATTTGAAAAATCATCCCAAACAAGGGTTAATGGCAAACCGTTTCCATATTGTTGTCAAGAAGACTGGCTGAACTGGCTAACCATAAGGTTACTAGAAGTTGAGATGTTGATTATACATTACCGTGTTTCCCCGAAAGTAAGACTTACACCAAAAATAAGCCCTAGTTTTGGGGTGAGGCACACACCTAAAAATCAAGCTGGGGTGGGGGGGTGGAACTGCCCCACCTGGCCCGCACCCACTTACCTTGCAGCCAAGCCTCTCCTTGACGGCCCACTTCTTCTTCTGAGGCCTCTTCTGCAGCCAGGCCTGCATTTCTCAGTCACAGACGAGCAGCCAATAACCGAGTTATGGGTTCAATCCGTAGTTCGGTTCTGCAAGACCTCAGCAGCTGAGCACCAAGGTATGGATTGAATCTGTTGCTCAATTCTCGGGTGCATAGGCCTTCCAGAAGGGCCTGACTGCAAAATGCAGGCCTGAATGCAGCTGCAGAACTTTGGCCCCAGAAGAAGTGGACCGGCTGGGTGAGGCTGTCGGTGCCAGAGATGAGGTAAGGCCTACTCCGAAAATAAGACCTGGTACCTCTTTTGGAGGCAAAAAAAAAAATAAGACCCGGTCTTATTTTCGGGGAAACACGGTATTTCATTGCCTCTCCTTGGTCTTCTGCTTATAGTTTCAGAATATATTGTTTTCTCATTAACTGCTTCCCACAATTCTGATTTGGTATTCAGTTGTAATAAAATGTATGCATCTGTGCTTAAAAATAAATCCCATTGGATGCAGTGGGATTTACTTCCCAGAAAAGCGATACAGGTAGTCCTCAATGTATGACTGCAATTGAGCCCAAAATTTCCACTGTTAAGTGAAAGAGTTGTTAAGTGACTTTTGCCCTGTTTTATGACCTTTCTTGTCCCAGTTGTTAAGTGAATCACGACAGTTGTTAGTAACACGGTTGCAAAGTGAATCCTGCTTCCCCATTGGCTTTGCTTGTCAGAAGGTCACAAAAGGTGATCACATGATCCCAGGACACTGCCACCGTCATAAATATGAATCAGTTGCCAAGTATCTTGAATTTTGATCCCCTGGCCACGGGGGATGCTGCAACATTGTTAAGTGTGAACAACGGTCATAAGTCACTTTTTTCCATTGAAACTTCAAACAGTCACTAAATGAACTGTTGTAAGTCAAGGACCACCTGAATGTGTTGCAGTCTTAATCATCTAAGACCAAATTATCCTAAATACTGATTCCAAACATTGACCAAGCTACTGCTGATGTGATGTTGACAGGCATGTTGGCAGTCCTCCCCCATGCGGGAAGTGACCTTAGATGGAATTTATGACAAGCACACAACGTACTCATATGCTTTTCTCGTGTGTGTTTTTTGTTGAAACAATTAGACCAGTTTTGTGGTGTTTTCCTATTTTGGGATAATGCACTGCCAAATCAGACACTAGGTTTTTAAAGAAGCACAAGTAGATTGATCCAGACTGTTCTGTGAATGAAACATGCTTTGGGACCTAGAAGAAGTATCAGCTGTGTCTCAAATGCCTGAATAATATAAGAATCATACTACATTCCTGTGCAGTCTAAAATAGTCCCATTATGTCCAGGAGAATTTTATTCCCAGATAAGTGGATATCGTATTGCAGCTTAAAGCAGGGGAGGACATTCTCCCATGGGGATAAAATGATAAAGTATATCAGATTAATTTCTCCATGACTGGGTAAAGAAGAACCAGTATAAAATCAACCCTTTTGCCTAATAGTAATGCTGTTTTGTTTTTAAATTTCTTTTTTCAAGTTGTTTTAACATCTTGTTTTTTTAAAAAAAAATCCCATTGATTTCCTAAGCAAGTGACAGGAAGAGATTTACCACAGAATCACTTGCAATCATTCTGCAATTTAAGATACACCAGTCCTGGACATTATGTGTATATAATTACTTTCTGAGTAGTTTTTGGTTTAGGGGAGTTCTTTGGGGGGGGCAAGCTGCATATATTTACCAAAAAACATATCAGTAGTCCTTGTTTAGTGACTGTCTCAGATAACTGTTCATAATTATAACAGTGATTAAAAAATAGCTTTGCAACCAGTCCTTGCAGTTGTGACCTTCACACGTTTATAGAGCAAAGAAAAGCTGAAATAAAATTGTAAGCATAGTTGTGTTTTCACTTAACAACCGCTTCACTTAAATGATTGAGCTCCGGTCCCAATTGGGGTCACTAAACAAGGACTACATGTATATTCAACAGTGCCCTGCTCAATAGGAGCATTTGTGTTATATTAAAAGAACTGACCTGTAACAATCCAATGATTTAGAGCTGCTTTATTTCTATCACAACACTCCACAATCTAGTGTCCTCCTGATTTATAGAACTTCAACTCCCATAATGCCTACTCAGTATGATCATTGACTCTGTTGGCTACAGATTTTACAACATAGAACAAGATATAATAGCATAATAATAATAATAATAATAATAATAATAATAATAATAATAATAATAATAATAATAATAATAATAATAATAATAATAATAATAATAATAATAATAATAGTTGGAAAGTTCAGACAAATGGCTGTCCAGTTTCTTCTTAAAAACGTCCAGTGTTGGGGCATTCACCGCTTCTGGAGGCAAGTTGTTCCACTGGTTAATTGTTCTAACTGTCAGGAAGTTTGTTCTAACTGTCAGGAAGTTTCTCCTTAGTTCTAGGTTGCTTTTCTCCTTGATTAGTTTCCATCCGTTGCTTCTTGTCCTGCCTTCAGGCGCTTTGGAGAATAGCTTGACTCCCTCTTCTTTGTGGCAGCCCCTGAGATATTGGAACACTGCTATCATGTCCCCCCTCGTCCTTCTCTTCATTAAAAGAGAAGGGAACTTGGAGATCTTCTAGTCAAGGGGTCCCCAACCCCTGGTCCATGGACCAGCACCAGTCCGTGGCATGCCAGTAACCGGGCCGCACAAACAAGCGAAGAAGCCCTATCCGCAGGATGCAGGAAGCACGCAAAACCATGCCCCTCCATTCTGCGGAAAAATCTTTCTCCATGAGGTCCCTGGTGCCAAAAGGTTGGGGGCCACTGTGCTAGTCTAACCCCCTGTTCAAGTAGGAGATCCTACACCATTACCAGATGAATTGAACACTCTGAAAAGATGACAGATTGCTGAAGGCATTCTAGCAAATGGTAGCATTTTTAATTTCCACATTTTTTGTGGAGGTGGTAAATAGTGCAAATCCTATTCAAGCATTCAAAAATCTGGAGCACTCCTATTAAGTTTGCAGGAGAGACACCAAATTCTTATTACATAAGACATGAGCATTGGGTAGCATATAAATTTAATAAATTATTATTATCATTAACCTTGATAATACAGAGTCCTGGCCCAGTTGGAAAATTAATGAAGTGCTCTAATTTATAATCATAGACCGAAGAAAGGAAGTAAAATACAGTAAAGAGATAACGAAAAAGACTCGTACAAGAAAAGCAAACTAATAATAAATAGAAGCTGTAAGGCTAAGTTTAAAGCCAAGTCTCCTGGTGGCGATTGCAGTAGAAAAGAATTCAGCTTTTTATGAAGCCAAATTGGTCCAATAAGTAACTTAATACTTAATGTAATCTGAATAGTGCTGTATTTAAGAATGTGTGCACAGAGTCTATGTATTTCAGTCTTAATTTTTTTTAAAAAAGTGTTTCATTAATGATTGAATTGAGAGGAAGAGGAGAGGGAAGAAAGTCATGGCTGGTCAAAATTGGTAAGTCCCTGAAAAACAGAGAGATGAGGAAATTTAAAGAATGAAAGACAAATGTATGAAGAGTTATATGCACATGTTGAAATCAAGAAATATGCTGCAGATGCGGATAGTTATACTGAATAGTATCAGTGCGTTAAACCGTACTATATTCCTTTTTTTTTACCTTTTGCCTTTATTTTGCTTAGCATTTTTTCCTCTATACCAGGGGTAGGCAACCTTGGCTCTTTTATGACTCGTGGACTTCAACTCCCAGAATTCCTGAGCCAGCCATGCTGAGGGGAAAGGGAGAGGTTTCCATGCTTAGCCATGCTGGCTCAGGAATTCTGGGAGTTGAAGTCCACGAGTCATAAAAGAGCCAAGGTTGCCTACCCCTGCTCTATACTTTATATAATTTTGTCACAAAAAGGAATAGTGTCATATCAGGCATGTGCTTGCGTATGCTTCCTTACGCTTCTTTATATGTTGTATTTTACAGCTTTTTGGAGCCCTCGTATGGATACTAGTGGCTGCTACAAAAGTTCCTTTGCCCCTGCTGCAGGGCTGGGTGATGTTTGTATCTGTGACAGCCTGCTTCACTTCCATCTCCTTCCTTTCGGTCTTTCTCTTCAGTTATCGAGAGAGAATTGCCATCGACTGGAACCGTTTGGTAAGCATGCAAAAAAAAAAAAAAAAAAGGCTGCAAGTTAAAAACTGCAAACAAGTCAGAGGCATTTCCAGAAGTGGATTTGTCCATATCATGTTTTTTTTTTTAAATTTTAGAAAACCCATTGCTAGAAATCAGTTGTCACTGCCCAATGTGTTGCTGCTAAGTATTGCAAAAATGAAAAAAAAAATCTACATGGTTGATGAAAGAATGGCTTATTCATGCATGTTCCTCGTGTACATTTTATCTGAAGTTAACGTTTTCTTGAATTACTGTATTTGTGAGTATTGGGAGACCACAGGAAGTAGAGAAGGGAGCTGAGACTGCTTTTAAGAGTGGCAATTGTAAGGAGCTACTTGAGGAATTGTTGAATACACAGGCCCAAATCCAAAAGAGTTAACTGTGCTATAAAGCAGGGATTTTCAACCAGTGGTACGGGTACCACCTGTGGTACATTGGCACCTGGCAGGTGGTACGCGACCATCCTAGAAAAGTGGTAGCGGGGGAGGGGAATGAGCTGAACTGGCAGCAGCACCGCACAAGCCTGAGCGAGAGATGGCTGGAGCTGCAGGGTTGTCAGGGCTCAGTGGAAACACCAGGATCAGCGCCAGATGTTGCAGCATCTCCAGGGTCGTGTGATTTACATTCAGATGCTTGGCAACTGATTCATATTTATGACGGTCACAGTGTCCCAGGGTCATGTGAAGTGACCAAAACCTGCTGCAACCTCCAAGCAGACGGGGGGGAATAAAAACCAAACACCACCCCACCCCACCCCCGCTGCCAATCCTCAACAGAAATGCTCACAGCAATGAAAACCTTGGACAGGAGGAAGAGCGCGGCCGGGCGGGCAGGCAGGTGTCTTGCTCGGCTGTGGCTTGGGGGGCACTTTTTTCAGTGCCATTGTAACTTTGAACAGTCACTAAGTGAACTGTTGTAAGTCAAGGACTACCTGTACTTTATCACTTTTTTCCTTTTTTGGGGGGGGTCATCAAGTTTTTGACACCTTGCTAGGCGACGGGTGGTCCTCGGATGTTGCCGTATCCTAAAAGTGGTACAATGGGTGAAAAGGTTGAAACGCCCTGCTATAAAGCCACATGAATGAGGAACAGTTCCATTAATGTGATTGTAGCTTAGTGATGTGTTATTTTTTAATGTTTGTACATGCATTTGTACTTGTAAAGATAGAAGTTCACGATGCTTTACTTGTCTGTTCTTTTAATGCCATTGCTGTAGATTTTAGCTTTCTTTTTTCTTTTTGGAATACGTGTTAGAATATATTTTGTATTGCAACAACTACAGAATTATTCAGGCAGCATTTAGTTTGCATCTATGGTTATAATCTATGGTTCCTTTATGTTCTAAGGAAAGCTTCCTATGACAGTTGAAACCATTAAGCAGCAAGGCCCTTGGTGACTATGTACACTGTACACTTTATTTTGCTCTGTATGGCTATATATAATAAGCCTCTGCTACCATTTATGTATAATAAAACAGAATTTTCTAACATTTTTATTTATCCTTTTGGGGATTAAGAGGAAGGATTGTAAGGGCACTTTTGTTCTGGAAAGTTGCAAATTCTGTCTTTGTTTGCACGGTAAACAAGGAAAGGCCATTGCTCATTATTAAAGTGAACATTGAAACTTAAAATGTCAGCTCTGCTTTGTCATGAGCAATTCTAGGATGGTTTTGTTTTTGTTTTTTAAAAAATCCACCTGAACATCCCTTTGTCTGGCACAAGTTTGCTCCTGACATAATTTTCTCCCCTATTCTGTAAATACCAAATTTTAGTATCAATTTTCTGTGTTGTAATACATTCTTGTACAGAATTATGTACAAAGGATACACCGATCTGCAAATTCAACTCATAGATGACCAAGTTTGATGAAAGAACAGGGGGTTAGACTAGAAGACCTCCAGGATCCCTTCCAACTCTGTTATTCTGTTATTCACCTAGGAGAATGAGGAAATGCAAATTAATAGACGTGTATTAAAATTGAATGAATGTTTCTCCTTCTTCCTGGGCTTCATATAAATCATGCTTCCTGCTGTATGGTTTGTTAATAGGGTTGTGTTCAGTGATGTGACTGGAATTGCCTTGAGGGATACAATTTGATTATAAGTTCACAACCATCCTCAGGCATTTACAGGAGAACAATAAACCTCTGAAGGAGACTGGCCATTAGTTTTACTTATGTTCTCTGGCATAAGCACATTATGATTGCTTCCTGGAAAAATCAATAGGTTGTGGGCCATTTAATTTCCCCCTTGTTGAGAAAAACTCTCTATTTTCCCCCATCTTTGTTTTCTGTTTTTTAAACCAGTTAGCAGTCAATGAATGGATATGATGATAAGTTTATTCAAGAGAAGACAAAGTTCCTAACTAAGGGCTTTGGGGAATTCTAAGTATACAGGTCCAAGGAGTTTTATAGGCCTGAATTTTAAAAAGTCTTGCAGCAGAATTTGTTCAAATAGTACTTATGTGGAAGTTAGTTCATTGCAAAGATGATCCAACACATTGCCATTCATTTGGGGGTATGCACATATATTCTTATGTGCATGTGTAAGGAACCACCAAGAACACTCCACCACCACTGACCAGGCAAGTATGTATGTATAAGCAAGCCCAGCACTCCCTTTTAACATCATTTATGTTAAATGATGTTACCTAGTTGGGTAATGAAACGTCTGCAAGAAAACAACCAAGTTCAGAGAGCACCAAAGATCCCCGAGTTTAACTCTGAGCTACAAATATTCTCTTCTGTTGATACTTAACATGTTTCCCCAAAAGTTAGGCCCAGCCAGATAGTAAGCCCTAGCTTAATTTTTGGGTGTGGGCCTAATATAATCCCTACTTCAAAACTAAGCCCTAGTTTTGGGGCGAGGTGCACCCCTAAAAATCAAGCTAGGGCAGGAGTAGGGGGGTGAAGCTGTCCCATGTGCCTTGCACCCGCTTACCTTACCAGTAGGACCACCACAGCCAGGCCTCAACACCCCGACAACTGTCGTGCTGCTACTTGACTTCTGCGGCTGCTTGCCGCCACTTGTGGCTGGATGATATGTGGCGCATTGCGCCATTGCCACTCCTCTCGGCAGGACACCGCATGGCGCTTTGGGACGCTTCCGCTGCTTGCACAGTGCTTTGGGACGCTTCCGTTGCTCGCACGCTTCAGGATGCTTCTGTTACTCGTGGTAGGAGACCATGTGGCGCTTCGGGCTGTTTCCGCTGCAGAAACAGCCCAAAGAGCCACGCAGTGTCCTGTCACAAGCAGCAGAAATGGCACAAAGCACCATGCGGTGTCCTGCCGGGAGGAGCGGCAATGGCGCAATGTGTCACATAGCATTCAGCCGCAAGTGACGGCAAGCGGCTGCAGAAGAAGTCAAGTAGCAGCGCGACAGGTGTTGGGGCTTGGGAGGCCTGGCTGCGGTGGTCCTAAGGTAAGACATTCTCCAAAATTAAGACCTAGTGCTTCTTTTGGAGGCAAAAAAAATATAAGACTGGGTCTGAATTTCAGGGAAACACGGTATGTGCACATACATGGATCAATGAAGGTCAGAGAAGATTGTGCTTCCACTGTAGCCCTGTTCCTCCAAGCACTGTGCATTAGGCCAGGGGTCCTCAACCTTGGCAACTTTAAAACTTGTGGACTTCAACTCCCAGAATTCCTCAGCCAGCAAAGCAAAGCTGGCTGAGGAATTCTGGGAGTTGAAGACCACAAATCTTAAAGTTGCCAATGTTGAGGACCCCTGCATTAGGCCATTCATAAGACACTGAAGACCTGAATGTTCTCTCTCTGGCGTATGGTCTGGAAGAGTCAGTGAGCCATGTTGGTGTATTTCTTGTTTTAGTCTTCATTGATTGAAAATGGATTGTTTTTAGACTCCATAATATGTTTTATTGTTATTGTTTTGGATTAGTATTTTCTATATTATTTCTCAGATTTGGGGTTTTAATCCTCTGTTCCCTGCCTAAAGTCTCTATTGTGAGATGGACAGCTAAACCAATAAAATGTATTTATTTATATATGGTTCTATAAATTATATAAATACATTTTATTGGTTTTTATTGATTGATTGGTTGGTTGGTTGCTTTTTATGGATAGGGTCCTATCCTGCCATGCAAAATAGGGAGAACTCACCACTTAAATAAAGTCCTTGATTGATCTATTTATTTATATCACACGTTTATTATTTTCATAAATAACTCAAGGTGATGAACATAACTAATTCTCCTTCCTCCTCCCATTTTCCCCACAACACCAACTCTGTGAAGTGGTTTGGGCTGAGAGAGGGGCTGGCCCAAAGTTACCCAGCCAGCTTCCATGCCTGAGGTGAGACTAGAACTCACAGTCTCCTGATGATTGACCCAGTGTCAACCAGGCAAGTTTCATGCTTAAGATAGGACTAGAACTCACCGTCTCCTGGTTTCTAGCTTGGTGCCATAACCTTTAGACCAGGGGTAGGCAACCTCGGCTCTTTTATGACTCATGGATTTCAACTCCCAGAATTCCTGAGTCAGTATATGCTGACTCAGGAATTCTGGGAGTTGAAGTCCATGAGTCATAAAAGAGCCGAGGTTGCCTACTCCTGCTTTAGACCAAACTAGCTCTAGTCCTGCTTTAGAAACAAAGTCAGCTGGGTGACTTTGAGACAATCACTTGCTCTTAGCCTTTGGAAGAGGAAGGAGGAAATACAGTAGCATGCCTCTTCTGAAAATGTTGCCAAAAACCCTGCCCTCTCCAAGAGTTAAGACTAACAAACACACTCACACAGGGCTAGAAATTAGATGGATAGACTTAAGGAGCTCTTGGCATTTAAAAAGTTGCATCTGCTCTCTGCTTGGCCTCAACAGCTTGTCACGTTTTCTTGATTCAGCTTTGGGAACGGCAGGCAGAAGGGAGGACAGGAGGATCACTCTGAGAGTGATAATATTACCTCATGCATTCCTTTTAGTAAAAATATGTCTCAGTAGGTCACTGCTTCTGCCCACCTTTGGCCTCCTAAAGCTAAGCAAGATCATTCCTGGTTAATAGTTGCATGGCAGGACCACAGGAATGACAGACTCCTGGGTACTGTGTTGTAATCCCAGCCCCGAGGCTAAAAAATTCCGCAAATCAATTCTAACTTTTATACATACGAGAATACTGCGATCACGTGGGACATAATCTATTTTGCACAGCAAATCATTTGATGCCTGCAAACGTTCGGCCTTCTCAGTTTTTACTTTCGCATTTTTGCTTCCCCCCCCCCCCCAGGATTTCCTTTACCACGCAGCCGTCTTTGTCTTCTACTTTGGGACCTTCTTACTGCAGACTGCAACAACGTCTTTGCACAGTCACCCCCTTAAGGCCACCAATCTCGCCTCCAACACCACCAGCCATGGAGCACTTCTAGATAGCCATGAATATAATTTAAGCATAGCAGCTGCGGTGAGTATCACTCAGGGATGTTCTGGGATCAGCCAAATCTAACTACAGGTCATCCTCAAATTATGACCCTTCATTTAATGACTGTCTGAATTATGATAGTCATTTGATGGGTCTTCTGCTCCTGTAGCCCATTCTCAGTCTATCTGCATGTGAAAACCCTTTTCACTCCTCTGTAGGCTGGCAAATGACTTCTCTCTCTGCCAGCACTCACGATCCTCTGTTTCTGGAGCTGCTTTCTGAAGTTCTGCTACATGCAATGGGCTTGCTTGAGTTTGCAGACTGTGGTCAGGCTTTTTTCCTCCCCTGTTCTCAGCTCTGCCTCTCAGCTCTGCCTCTCAAGAATTGCAGTTTTCCTGTCCTTCCTGAAGACTGCTTACTTTTGGGGTGGAGGCATCTCTACTGCCTTCCTGGCTTGACTCCCTTCTTGACACACCCACACTCAACTTTCAGTTCCCTTTTAAGAGACAAACTCTCCAGTTATGAAGAGGGCGGAGCTGTTTTAATCCAGGCAGCACCAACATTCTGGATCCCAATCTGGATGGTGAGCCATTCTTCCATGCTGCCCATTACCTACCCATGGCTGGCTCAGGAATTCTGGGAGTTGAAGTCCACAAGTCATAAAAGAGCCAAGGTTCCCCACCCCTGGGCTAGGTGGTGCCATGGAGAAGGCCTTCTCTTCTAGGCTGCCATTTTGCAAAAGTGCCTACAGCCTGTTCTCCACTTTCTCTTCATCAGCACCCAAAGATTGGGGATTTCTGCTCCAACCACTGCATTGCACTCTCTCTTAAGTATTCATGGTCTTCAGGGTTCCAAAATAAATAAATAGGTACCCAGTGTTGGGTTTTTTGCCCACCGTGCAACAAAAGATTACACATCACCCATGTCTGTGTGCATGCTCCTCCTATGAAGTAAGACCAATACTGACCTTAAGTTCATGAAACGCTAAATGCTTCAAGAAGTGCAATATGCAATGCTTATTGTGTGAAAATAACAACCTAGGGAACAAAACATTAAAGACCAGCACAGCCACCAAACTTTGATACACATTTCCGTTTTATTTCTCCTTCCATGCCTCTTCTTCCGCTGCAGATTTTTTCCTTTGTAACAACCGTGTGTTATGGATGCAGCACCACCCTGGCTTTAAGAAGATGGAAATTATAGCATCGGAAAGAGGCGACCAGCTCCACAACATCCTGGCTGATTTTGATACCTGCTCAAATCTCAAACAGAGTCCAATTTGTCCATCAAATTGGAGTGGCATTCAAAAAGGATGTTTTGGAATACATCTGTCGTTTTCTAAAGCACTGAGATGTACACACCCAACCCATGCCATAAGTATATACTCTCAGGGGTGGTGGTGGGAAAATCTGTGTTTATATTGAGATTGTTATCACAGCTTCTATCTCAGTTCAGCAGCACCATTCCCTTGTCCCCAAAGTGGGTGTAGTATTAAGAAGCAAGGTCTTAGGAACAGAAGGGATTATTATCATTTTGGGATGCAACAAAATTCCTAGCTTGACAAGAGGCAGACATAGCAGCAGTGGCCTTTGTATATATATTTATATTCTTTCTTCAGTGAAAATAAGATAGAAACTTCTGTTAAAACAACAACAACTTTCATCCTCGTTTCCAGATGAAATCTTTTATTTTCTTCCCCACACAGTGCTTCTGAAATAACTCTCTACCAACAGCATTGGTAGAGGGCCCCAAAATATCTTCCATTACTCCACAGAATTTTCTCAGTGACCTACATTTTTCTCCTTCCTTTCTTTCCCAGGTTCTTTCTCTGTTGTAATTTTTTAAATATGTCAACTGTGCATGAAAAATATTGCGCTGACGGTTTCAGCTCAGCTTATGTTTTCAGTTGCTAGGTTGATCTTCCCAAGAACATACGTTACAGACAACACACACACCCCGTTCCGCAGTATTATAATACTATCTTTAGCAGACAATTGAATGTTGGTTCTCTGATGGTTGTAGGAGAAACAAAAGCTCTTAGCAAATGTGCAATACATTGCATACAGGCAATCAAGAAAGACAACATTAGCCAAAATTAATATTGCAGTAAAACTTAAAGGTAAAGGTTTCCCTGTCTAGTTGTGTCTGACTCTAGGGCACGGTGCTCATCTCCGCTTCTTGGATGAGGGATTCAGCAATTTCCGTGGCCATGTGGCCAGCATGGCTATACACCAAAGGTGCACGGGACGCTGTTAACTTCCCACTGAAATAATACCTATTAATCTACTCTCATTTGCATGCTTTCAAGCTGCTAGGTGGACAGGAGTTGGAGCAAGTAATGGGAGCTTACCCCATCGCGTGACGCTCAGGTCTTGAACCCAGATTGTACTTTGTATTGCAGTACTTTGGGCTAAAACCTGCTTTACAGTCCACCATGCCCAGCTGTCTAATTTCAGCAGGATTGACATGGGTTGCCAAATTTCAGGATTTAGTTATCCCTCCCTAGACATGGTGAGTCTAGTTCTCAGAATCATTCACTAGTATCAGATTGCACCCTTTGAGTCTTAGGCCAGGCCATGGTATAATAGTATTATTTTTAAGTGCAAGGAAGATATTCTCTCTGTATTCTTAAATAAGAAAACATACACACCATTTATTTTTAAGTCCTAATTCAGGAAAATAAACTAGGATATTTTTCTTGGGTTTTCCACTTTTCTTTATAATTTTGGCCTTACCCATGCCCCACGCAAGTGTCTCTCACCACTACCTATCATATGTTTATCTTTCAAGAATTGCAGCCCTGTGAATTGGGAGATTACCAGAATTCTGGTAATCCCAAAATGGAATTCCTGTTTTGGATTGTTAAACCTTACTAGCATTGCTCAACAGATTAATACTCTTGTAAGTTTTATGCCGATATTCATACAAGCCGGGTCACACAAGGATCCTAAACTACCAACAGAAGTGGAACCTTTTACAAATACTGTATTGTGTTTCTACTTTGAAGGAATAATTTGTAGCAGGAGAAAATATTTCATGTGTTTATGTTCTGCTTAACCAGAATCTAGTTGTACCTTTGCTAGAAAAAGACATTTTCATAAAAGATTGTTGTGGCTTTAAAAAAAAAAAAATCTGGGAGCATGTCCATGAGTGAAATAACAAACTAATGTCACAATTCATTTTCCATTGGTGTAGTATAAACCTGAGAAATGTTATGGTCATGTGTTTGAAGTTTATGTGCTTATTCAAGGGAAACATGTTTTATTCAATAATAGTTTTTAATCTAAAAATTTGCTAATGGGGCAAGTTAAAAAAAGTAGATGGACTGCCCATCCTATATGTAGTTTACTGATACAAGTTTTGCTTGTACAAATATTAAGAATCTGCAGTCCATTTTTATATCTGGGAAGCCTTCCTTCCTTCCTTCCTTCCTTCCTCCCTCCCTCCCTCCCTCCCTCCCTCCCTGTCTTTTACTCTAAACTCATATTTTCTAATTTATCATATAAACTCTTTTATTTATCAGCTTTAGATATAGAAGCCAAAGGCGTCTTGTTTTTATTTTAGCAAACTGGCTAATATTTTAGAATGTCTCCAATGCATTTGTTTCCACTTATGAAAATGTTTATGCCTAATTATTCTGGAAATTTCTTGGCTTCCTCTGAACTTCAATGCTTTCACAATTTGATATTTGAAGTTGTATGTCCTGTTTCATTTTTGACAATTCAGGTTCCGGGGAAAGATCATACAATTAATTATTGTTTGATACCTCCAATATAATGTTTTGTGGTATATTACTGTAAGTTGCTATCAGGGGTAGAAATCAAACTTGAAGGAGGAAAGAGAACTTAATGGCAGGTCAGATTATTTAATAGGATGCATGTTGCTTGCAGTCTGGTTGTGGAAGATTGGTCCAAATTCAAGTCACAGCGTGGTTTTAAGTGCCGTTTTTCCTATTGCAAATATATGTCTGATATTAAAGGGGAATACATCTGACAGTTGAAACTATTGTGTAATTTGTGTTCAATGTCAAAAGAGGGTTGTGTCTCCAAAGCCAAATAAAAAGTGTTCAGTTCGAAACAGGTTAGAACTGCTAGATGGGCAGTTTTGCCATATAACACTTCAGCAGGCCTTACTACTGCCGTTGTCTTTATCACAACAAAGGAGGTGTGCAATAGTTCAACATCTCGTAAATCTCAGCTCAGCTGTTTTACATTCCCTTTATATGGAATTTATCCCTCAAATTGATCAAACACCCTACTCTCCAAAGTAGCTCAGCAAGACATAGAACATAGAATAATGTCCTGGTTTAGTCCACCTGCATGACACACAAGGGTTTTAAGCACTTTAGTGATCATCAAAGCCCCTTAATTTTAATCCCTTTGCACCCAATGCAAAGACATTGAGTCCAACACTGCTCAGTCAGTTACCAAGTCCACAAGCAAAAGTCCACAAAATCCAAGGTAGAGGTCCAAAATCCATGAACCAATCCAGGGTCTAAACACAACGTCAAGTGCAGCACAATCCAGAGTCGAGGAAACCGAAGTCACAAAAGCGAAGCATGCACATGGCAGGAGAATGGGTGGTTGTTTCCTTTTTTTATTAGTTTATAATATAAAATACAAAAGAAAATAATAGGAAAAATAGGGGAGGGAAAAGGGAAGGGAAAAGTGGGTGAAAAGGGGAAAAAGAAAGAAAAGGCATTGACTTGCAACTCCCTTTGGTGCAGTAGAGTAAGATAAGATTCCAACAACCCCTTGCTCCACTCATCTGACTAAATAGGCGCTTGTCAGTATAGCTCATTAAGATGGGTGAGGCTGCCTCCTCATGAGTTGCCTCACCGACCTCTGTTGAGCCTGCCTCCTTTCTGCCCTGCGCAGGAGGCAATTCATCCTCATCCACGCTGGCCGGTTGCAGAAGAGACTGGACAGCCATTTGTCTGAAATGATATAGGGCAGGGGTAGGCAACCTTGGCTCTTTTATGACTCATAGACTTCAACTCCCAGAATTCCTGAGCCAGCCACGCTGAGGGAAAAGGGAGAGGTTTCCAAGCTGAGCCATGCTGGCTCAGGAATTCTGGGAGTTGAAGTCCACGAGTCATAAAAGAGCCAAGGTTGCCTACCTCTGGTATAGGGTTTCCTGCCTGAGCAGGTCCCTTCCAACATCATCATCATTATCATTATTATTGTTAGATACACGTGATCATAGAACAAAAAACAAAAACAGGGACTCATCACAGATGGTGTTGTGTAGTTGTGGGACAGACTGAGATATTTGGAGACAAGCAAACTCACACATAATCAAACCTTCTACCACGGAGAGCTTTATGGGTGACAACCAGCACCTTGAATTTTATCCAAAAACGTTATCAGGAGACTGTGATTCACAAGTAGCCATGTTACATGCGTCTACCAAACTGTCCCTATACTTTCATACTAGCACATTCTAGGCCAGCTGCAGTTTCCAATTAACATTTTATGTACGGCGAATGTATCACAACAAAACTGAAGAGACAGAAAAAGGTTGGACAGTGGTGTAATTAAAAGAACAGCAGAAAGGTTGAGCAGATGGCCTGAAAGTTCATTTCCCAGCTCTAATTTTTAATAGGAAAGTGGGTAGAATCATATACAATGAGCTCTTTGTGGTATTATAACATGGGACAAACTGGGATACAGAGTACTGAGGAGTCCTAGGTGCTCTCTAAAGTTTGGTTGTTTTCTTGCAGACGTTTCATTACCCAAACTAGGTAACATCATTAGTGCACGGATGATGTTAAGTAGTTTGGGTAACAAAATGTCTGTAAGAAAACCGTCAAGCTCGGAGAGCTCCAAGGACCCTCATTTCAAACCTGAGCTAGAAATATTCTCCTCTATTGATACAGAGTACACAGTACTGAGGATTGTGAGAATCACAACCATCCGCAAGGTTGTGTGAAACCCAGAATCTGCTTCTCCACCATCAAACAACAGATGGCGCTGTAACATTATCTGACATCCTTATTCCATGTAGTAGAAAAGGAGAGGGGGGGAAGAAACCAGCATGTGGCCATCCTTGGCTGTTCTCAGAAATTAAATAGAGTCATTCCTGTTTAGCATCCAGGGCTTTGGCTAGACTAGAAAGTCATTTTTAAAAAGTAGAAGACGGCAGTAACGTGCCATTTCCATACTGCTGCCAAGAAAGCGGTGTGGAGTCAACAACCACTAGTCAGGCTAGACTTGAAGTTGCGGTATCTTACTTTTTATAGAACACTGGGGCAAAGAGGTGAACTTTTACAGAGCTGGGCAATACTTTGAATTAAGGAGAAATTTCCTGATAGTGAGATGGCTTATCAGTGAATGGCTTGCCTCTGGAAATTGTGAATGCTCCATCACTGGAGGTTTTTAAGAAGAGACTGGACAGCCACTTGTCTGGAATGGTATAGGGCAGGGGTAGGCAACCTTGGCTCTTTTATGACTCGTGGACTTCAACTCCCAGAATTCCTGAGCCAGGCTGGCTCAGGAATTCTGAGAGTTGAAGTCCACGAGTCATAAAAGAGCCAAGGTTGCCTACTCCTGGTATAGGGCAGGAGTCTTCAAACGTGGCCCTTTTATGACTTGTGGACCTCAACTCCCAGAATTCCTCAGCCAGGCATGCTGGCTGAGGAATTCTGGGAGTTGAAGTCCACAAGTCATAAAAGGGCCACGTTTGAAGACCCCTGGTATAGGGTCTCCTGCTTGAGCAGGAGGTTGGACCAGGAGACCTCTAAGGTTCCTTCCAACTCTGTTATTGTGTGTTTTGTAAACTCCAAAAGAGGTTTCTGTGTGCATGGGAAGTGCAAAGGCAAGCAAACAT